CTCCGGGGCGGGGAGCAGGGACCGGCCCCCGCTCCCACCAGCCCCGCTGGCTTCGGGCCTTCACGGGCGCTTGGCCGCTGGAGGACGCGGGTTTGTCCGGTCTCTGGTAGTTCCCGGGGGGCCTGGGTCTCTGTCCCCCCCGGGGGAAGCCAGGAAGTGGCTGAGAGCCAAGTGTGAGCGGGAGGGTTCAGGCTGCAGGGGGGTGAGGCACTGGAGGTCCTGTCTACACTATAACCGCAACCGTGTTTTTGTCCCAGTTCAGGACGCGAGTCTGAACCAGTTGCAGCAAACACGCCACAGTTGTGTCTCCTCAGCCCCTTTTCCACCGCACGGCCGTTTCCCACCCTCCCTACGGAGCCTGTTTCCGGGCCTTCCGGGCTCATCCAGGCACCTACCCGGGTGGCCGCCGGCCGCAGGCGTGTGCCCAACTATCAACACGCAGTGCAGCACGTGGGGGCCATGCCCTCTGGGGCGTCCTAGCAACAGCAATGTCAACCTGGTTACGCGGGCCTGGCTGCCCATTGTGGTGCCAGGGCTGTGATGCTGATCCATGCCATCCTCACACGTGCTCACAGAGTCTCTCGCCCTCAGCAGGGCCCGAGCAGGGTTTTCTCAGCACTGAGTGTTTGGACACTGTCTGTCTCTTCCTGCTCTCAGTCTCTCCCCGCTGCCCCCCCGCTGGTGCCCAGTTGGCGTGTGCTTGTCAGGAGCAGGGAAGAGGAGTAGGAGGAGACAGATATTGGCAGCACCAGAGCCTCCAGGCGCGTGTTACCCCCCAACTGGCCTTCCCAGGCTCTACCACTCCTTCCACTTGAACAAAGGCTGGCCTGGTCCCTCTCCAATACACCCATCTTGCTGGTTTCTCCAGGTTCTCTTCCACCCTGCGACTCCCTCCCCTGCACACCTCTCCTACTGCTCATGGTCAGGCCGTGGGGGCGATGGTTGGCTCTTTCCAGCGGTGAGAAATGTCACGCATGGAACGCCACTCAGCTGAGTGGTAAGAGTCTCTGGTGTGGGATGGGCCTGGCATGTGGTCCCCAAGAACCTTCGCCACGTCTGTTTTGAAATGGCAGCGGAATTAGGTCCCCTGGTGGAAGAAGCGTTCAGATCAGCGGGTGTAGCGAGTACGTCGGTGACAAGCCTGAGAATTTTATATCGTTAGAGTCCTAAACCCACCAACGTGAGGCTGACAGAGAGGGGTCTGTTGGCATTTTTGTTGTTGCATCTGGAAGGCAGCCGTAAAAGATTAACTCTCGGGCCCAGAGAGCGTGGAGCAGCCTGGAACACGTGAGCGGGCCGGGCCGTACGCCCTTTCT